GCAAAGGACCGGCATAAACCAGCAAAGGACCAGCTTAAACCAGCAAAGGACCGGCATAAACCAGCAAAGGACCGGCATAAACCAGCTCCAAAACATACCTAACCAGCATATGCTGTTTTTTTTTCAACAGGGAGGCCATGTATGAAACATTGATTTTAAACTTGTTTTCAATGCCTTCATTACCTTGCACTCTGATGTAGATCAATAGATAGCTGTGCCAAAAGCCAGACCCGTATAAAGAGCATGTCTACATACTTTTGGCAATGAATTATATCCATAATCAAACTGCATGTTACACACTTTTTGCATGATCTGAAATAGGTGTTTCTATGGCAGAAGAGATTCACCAGAAGAATGATCCACTGCTGTCGATGCTCAAGGACATTTATGTGGAGTCTAAAGATCCAGATCCTCAGGTTTGAATTTTAGGATATTTTGACCTACAGACCAATTAAAGTCAGCAGCAATTACTGTGGTATCAACAAGACGCATTGATTCATATTTATTAAGTTGCCTTTTAATAAACTGCGTCAAATTTCACCAACAATTGCAAAGCAAAATTTCTTAAAATGGATCAACAGCATAGTTATAAAGAAAAAGAAAAACCACAGGGCACTTTGGAATAGAAACAGTGGGTCCAAACAATTCCATCCATCGCAATGAGTAAAACCAAAGAACATACTTCTGATGTGCAGCAAAAGATTGTTGTCCTTCGCAAAATAGAAATTATAAAAGGGAGAGTTCCGGTCCTTGATTCTGATTGGCTGAGCCGCGTTCGAAGCTGTTGTAAATTACACTACAAACACACACCTTTGTTTACTTCTGTGTGTTGCTCGGCAACCACTTTGTTGGAACCACAACTGTTTCTGAGGAACTACATTGTTTGGTAGAAGAATACTGTTTTTATTAATATCATTACACTTTATTTGCTCTGTTTTATTTTGTGAAACCTTGCTACGTATATGGAATAACCGTTTTATAAAAGCAGTAAGCCCCGTGAAGCCGTGGTTTACAGTGAATTTATAACAGCTAAGGGGGTTTTAGCTGTTAACAACGCCCCTTAGCTGTTATAAATTCACTGTAAACCACGGCTTCTTGGGGCTTATTGCTTTATTGCCTGAAAGAAAATGGCTAAAGCATTGAAAATTCCCATTTCCACCATAAGGGCAATAATGAAGAGGTTGTCTCTATCCTCATCAGGCATTTTAAGAGATTAGCAAATGGAGGTTGCAGAAAGTATTGAATAAAAGGGGTCCAATAATTGTGGCCAATGTGTATTAGGAAAAAAAAAACGACATTATTTTGCTTCGTCTTTGAAGTAACAGCAACTCACTTGTTTTTGCAAAATGCAAATGTGCACTTGACTTTCAATTCATAACATTTACAAAGTATAGACTTAGGCTACAACAGTAAAATATGTTATGCGCTGGGGAAAACATATCTCAATTGCATTAAACAACACAAGCAGTCGGTCAGCACCTGCAGCAGCCGCCCACGTGCTTCTGAGCCTCTTTGAAGCGTTTCATTCAAATTGCTCTTGTGCTTCAGACAACTTAGGTCATGCATTTTTCCCCACTTCAGTTTCCTCTGTGGCCATTTTCAAATGCTTCGTACTGTGAAATTTACAGGCCAAATTGAAAAGTACCTGCATTTGGTGCTTGGTGGGTGTTAATTTTGTACTCTGAATGTCACAACTCGATATTTAGTGAGAATGATAGAAGAATTGTTTAAAATAGCATGGTGTCACTAGTTAACGTCATGTCAAATAGAAAATATAAAAATATTGCTGTATAGAAGTATTGTGTCTGAATTATTACTGTGGCTCAACCAATCATAATCCTGGACCAGAACTATTCATTGATTTAGATTCATTGATATAAACTCAATGCATTGTCAGTCTGCACTGAATGAGTGCAGAAAATATGACATTTATGAATTATTTTTATGCAGTAGACAGTAGGTCTCTACGATGTTTAGGTGAAATGCGAAGGGTGTGCATAGATGCGATCCAAGTCTTTTTGCACTTGATTATCCTTTTGAAATGCCACACATAATATGCTTGTGCGGCTTACTGCCAGACAGATTGCACTGCAGTAGGTGCTGTAAGAAATCACGCCTGTTCTATTAAATCAATAGACTATGTAAATGGTAAGAAAGAGTCCATGTTTTTTAGACTACTAGGCTTAGAAACACACTGTGTCTTTGAACAGTTTTGGGGGTAACGTATTGCAAGTAATGTGAGTTATGTAATCGGATTACTATTGTTAAGTAAAGTAATACAAATGACAAGAAAATATCAGAGTTACCTTTTCAAAGTAATGCCAGTTACTTTGTTTTCCCATTTATTGAATGACAATTCTCCTGTCCCCATGTTGAGAGAAATTGGGAATAAATGCAGAGGCTTTGTTTGCGCTGTGTGAACATGATGCTTACTGTAGTTCTAGACTAAATGTGAGCATGCATTTACTCATCTCACTTGCACAAAAACCGATTCAATATTCCTCAAAATGAATAAAAACTGAAATGCAAACTCAGAATATGACGCAAACCTGCAATAATTAAATGTCAATTGAATTTACATTTCCTTCAGCCTGAGGCTTATTCATTTCACTTTGGTGTGAAAGGGCTTTAACATATGCCAAAAATCTAACTTTTTAATATTAAAAACATACAAGCAAGCCCAGCCCAGATAAGAAAAAGTAATGCAAAAGTAACGTAACGCACCACACGGATACGTTGTTTTACGTTCAAATCAAAGCACAAACAATGTCGAAAACGTATCCACGTGGCGCAGCTGACACAGAATAGCATAACACTGCAGTTTGCATCTGTTTGCTCTGACAATAAATCAGTTGCCCCATGCATTGGTCATTTGATTGTGTACTGAATATAACGTTATTTTTTATAGTTACTCTCTGCCATTTTGCTCTTGAATGTTTTTCATCAATACTTTGCACTCCCAGTTGTTATCATCAATGTGATGCGAGTTGAATTCATTTTGTTTGAATTGTTGTGGTTTACTATGAATTATATAAGGAATATTATGAGAAACCCATTTCTTTTCAGATGTATCATGCCTTATTTAGTAGGAGACATGGGCCAATTGTAGATTTTTTTTCTTTTGATATCTAGAGATGAGAACATAATTTGCGGGCTGTCCCGGATTCACACGCTCGAACCAGCAGATGTCCTCAGCGTAGCATTGGGTTCAGTTCATTAGTTTCAGAAGACTTACTTTCTCTTATCACTATATCAAAACTTTACCGTTCTCTTTCTGTTGTTTATTTCATTGTGTTTTATATTTCAAACTCACTGCTATACCGCAAACTCACTTGATTCGTTCCCATCCCGCAACGAAACGCAGCTGCTTCGACATCGATGATTGGCCGAAGTGAAAACTCCAGCTGGCGACTCCTGCATTTTCATTGGTTAACGGGGTGTGACTCAAATCCGGCGCTGAAATTTAATTGGTTTACTTTGAGTGACGCGGTACTCGGTGAAAGCGGACAGCACGAGCGACACGGTGTGTTTGGGATGCATTTGCGGAATGAGAAGCGGGTACAAAATGTTTCATGCATTCCTCTCCGTTTAAAATGAGCGTTTGCACTCGACAAAACAGCTATATTTTAAGTCTGTTTAGCTCAGGGGTTTTTTTTTCTGTTAGATTATTACGAGGTTAAACATCTGTTTTGCAACGGGGGTTTTCAGATTGATTTACATCCCCAAAACGGGCAAAACTTTTATTTTTTTTATGTTTTTGACACGTTTAGTTAGTGTTTTTCAACCGAAACCGTGTCAGCCTCTCGAAGAAATAGATCTCACGGATGGACGTATATTTTAGGTAGAAATGTGGGATGTCGGAGCTTCAAACATCTGGCTTGTAAGCGCTTCGTGTTAAAAACTGCAAAGCACAAAGGGAAGAGAAATTGATGCGTAGTGTATTGTATCTGTGCAACAGTTATTGAGCCTTTCGTGTTCTTCAACCGAAACCGTGTCAGCCTCTCGAAGAAATAGATCTCACGGATGGACGTATATTTTAGGTAGAAATGTGGGATGTCGGAGCTTCAAACATCTGGCGAGAGAAGGATGTGTATCTGAATCTAAGCTTATAATGATGTGACTGATGCAGCAGCATATATATATATATATAAAAAAAGCCCCAGGAGAATCAAGGTAAAACACCAGCTTATTTAATTGTGTTTAGAAAGCAATATATAAGATAAATATTGTGATGTTCTCTGCACTTTCCTCCATTTTAAATCAGTTGATCCACTTTCAAGGTGAATCTTCCAGATCTGTTAGGTTTTGAGGGATATTTATAAATTAAATTAAATCATTTAATTTGAATTAAAAATAAATATTTCTTAATTAAATTATTGCAGGGAAAATTTTCACTGGATATAATATCAGTGCAACAAAAATTAATTCGTAAGATTTGTAAGAA